GGCCTTGAGAAGCTCTCCATCACTGGTAGCTGACAGACAGGCCTTCACACAACCTTCCACTGAACGGTCCACCAGCTTCCCTGCTTCAATCAGCTGCTCTTGACACACAGGGGAGCTGATAGTGGGGCTCACAACCTGACACACAAACACGAAAAAAGGTTATCCACAGTTTTTTAAACAATCTGGATTAGAAACATGTACATGTGAACCACCTTGGCACAGGCCACTAGTTGGGAAGTGGAAAGGGCGCACTGGGTCGCAGCTGCAATAACCCTGTTCTGCAAGACGCTGTCTTCAGAAACCTGTGCCACGTTCTTGGCCTTCAGAACCATCATGGCTGCTGCATTAGCCACAGCTTTAGCTAGGTTCATTAGCACATCCTGAAACACACGAACACATACACTCAGGGCGATAAAAACACAAATGTACATCATGTTCCTTAAAAGACACCTGTGTACCTGGAAGCGCTCGTCCATTTCATTCTCTCCAATCTGTTTAAGCAAATCTCCACTGGCTTGACCAATGCTGCCGGCTGCGGTCAGAACCACCTGTCGTGGCTGCATGAGAAAACACAACCACACAATCACTGCTTGTTATTTTCCTGTGAAGCTGCTTTGAAACAATCTGTAATGTATAAAGTGCTACATAAAGATGAGTTGATGGTAGTGTAAGTCAGTTGAATTATGATTCAATTTAATAATGAAATATAAATAATTACAATAATTTACCAAATAAAAAAAAAAAATCTGAAAATACATTTGCCTTTAACAAAAGAAAATAGAAATATTACCATAAAAAAGTGAAAATAATTATTTTAATCATATTTGTGTATCTCAAGATGAAACTATACATATGATACAGAAATGTAAATGGCATTTGTATATAATTCGGGGAAAATGAAAAGACTTTGAGAAAATGTTCAACACAGTCCATCAAACTGACAGATAATGATTAATCGCAGCACATTCTTTGCTCACACCTCTCCTGATGTAGGCTCCACAGCTTTAAGCAGGTCAGATACAGCTCCGGTGAGGGTCCTGGCAGCCCTCATGAGGTCCTGTCCACTGCCCACCTCATCCTCCATCAGAGCCGCCAGCAGCTTCACACCTTTTGACATCTCCGTCAGATTAGAGGAGATGGTGGTGATTGCACATCCTACCGCTGTATAATCCGTGTCTGTCGGGTCCCCTGGGAGATAGAATAGCAAAACTCAAGTCAAATCATACTGCATCACCATACTGCAGATGAAGCTTAAAGCTCTTCATTTTAAAAGTCCAGTCGAGGTTTTCTCTTGTATAAACAGTAAAAAATGTATAGTAAGTGTTGTAAAACATCTTAGTAATTTAATACATTTTAATAGAGTCAAGGCTTTACCAGCAGTAAGATTAACCACAGAGGCAGTTCCAGCAGTAATAGCGTCCACCTGAGAGTGAATATCATGCTTGGACTCATCCATCTTGTTCTGAATCCACATTTTAGAAGCCTGAAAAAAAATTGCATACAAAAAAAAGGTAATAAAGATAAAAAAGTAAAAATTTAATTAAATTAAATGGTA